AAAATATTTAAGTATCTGAACAAAGAATTCTAGTCTCTTCCCAAATTTGATTGTCCTGACTAATCACCTGTTAGGCCTAATTAATTTTAGAATGTTTCAAAGTGTTGCAATTGTGATGTATTGTAACTGTGGATTGTTTTTTAAATTAATGAATTTTTTTTTTAACTATGTTATTTTAGAAAAACTGATGATGGTGGAAATATACACCGAAACGTATTTTAATTGATAAATAAAGACAATAAATGACTGAAACCCAGGAATTAATTTTGATTTGGAATTGAAACACAGTCAGGAAAGTATATACAATTATGATTATGATAAAATCTGATATTTTCAGATTCCCCTTTCTAATAAAACTCGCTTTTTTAATGTATAAGAAACTTCCAGTTGAAGCCGTGCGTTCTATAATCGCCCTAAAATTCCAACTTCGAGCCGGCAAAAGCAGATTAGAAGCTTAAGGCTAAAGGAACATGACACAAACAGTACTATATCGAAGCCACAACAATCGGCTGGAAAATATGTGCTTTTTATGCAAAAATATCCCCGAACTGTTCAGATTTTCATTTGTAAAACCAGCAGAAGCTTAAAAGGCACATGGAAAAATTAGCGTGGAATAAATGAAAATTTGCCAAAAGAAAGAAGAGAGAAAAACGAAGAAAAAAGCAAAACTGGGAAATCGTTTAGGATGACAATAAAGAAAAATGTTTCGTGAGTTCTTTAAAATTGCGAAACACACCGACTGCTATCGAAAAACTTTTTGCGACTGAAAAACCCTTCAAGTCGCCCGTAAAAAGTCCATATAAAAAATCATAAAATTCACTTAAATAAAACACTCGAATGAAAATCACTTCGTTTCCACTACAAAACCAAGGAAAATCTAATGAGAAGCGAATGAATTAAACTGTGCATTTACGTGCGAGGAAAAACATTTCTGAAAACCGACGTTTGAAAAAATAAGTAAAAACCAGCAGGTTAAAGAAGCTTAAAAGGCACATCAAAAGATGCAGCCACTCGATTTGCTCTCAAGAAAAATTAGCTTGGAATCAATGAAAAATTGCCAACAAAGAACAATAAGAAACCGGAAGTACTGGGAAAACCGATAACGAAAAATGTTTTGTGGAGTTTGCAATTTTGATTAAATTGTGACACACCGACTGATATCGAAGAACTTTTTTCCGACTGAAAAAAACCTTGAAGTCGCCCGTAAAAAGTCCATATAAAAAATAATAAAGTTCACATAAGACACACGCTTTACGTTCGCAAAAAAATATTCCAAAGTATCGTCGCTTGTGGTCGACCGTCAGCTTGAATGAAACGTTTAGATCGAGAAGCGAACGGATCAAACTGTTCATATACGATCGAGAAAAAACCTTCTTGAAAATCGACGTTTGAAAAAATAAGTCAGTAACTAATTAATAAATTATTGAGAGATGACAAAAAAATGGCAAAGGTGGACAATACGAGTTTATTTATAATTTGAAAATATAACATAGAAAGAATCAGGAAAAGACAAAATAGAGGAACGAAAAACCCAATAAAAACTCATTGCGTTTAATGCAAATCTGTAGTGATTTTGGGTAAGGAATACCTCCAAAATGGGGAAAATAGAGCTCAATATGAAGAAAACGAGCCTTTTTGCGCCAAATAAACCGCGAATTTGTTTTGTGCAATATGATCCAAAAATATTCAAATGGTTCGTAGACCCTTATAAAAAAATTATGAAGCTAAAGTACATAACAGACGCTTAAGAGGAGAAACAAAACGAAAATCAAACGATACGATCTGACAAACTGAAGAAAAACTGTTCCTGATAATCCACATTTGTGCTTACAATTAATTAACTTGCAAAAATGCTAAATACGACAAAAGGAAAAATATACAATTTTAAAAAAGTGAACCAAAATTTGCCGTACAAAAGCAAAAAATGGAATGTTGGATGGAACTAATAAAACCCCCATTCAGATTGTTGCAAATCGGTTGTAACTTTGGGAAAATAGAGTTGAATATGAAAAACCGTTCAAATTGTTCGAAAAAAGTCTAAATAAGGAATTATAAAGCAAAAGGTGCATAATACGCGCTTAAAGGAGATAAATTACCAAAAGCTGGTACTTTTCCAAGACGAAATCGAAGAACTGCTCATTTACGTTCAACAAATTGTTCCCGACTATCAACGTTTGTGTTTAACAATTAAACAGATTAAAAAAAATAAAAAAAACGAGTGAATAAGCTCTTTAGGTACCTCAGAAAGTGACACAGATGGACAGTAAGATTTTTCTTAATTTAAAAATTATTGATTTAAAAAAAATTGAACCAAAGAGAAGATCAACAAAAGGAAAAACACGAAACGTGAAAAAACAAGAAACGAACGAAAAAAGCCATTGAATTAAAATCAAATTTATTACGAGTTTGAAAAGGTTCTGCAAGACGCCAGAAATGTCTGCCAGATCGAAAAAGACAACTTATTACGCAGGAAGCGAAGCCAGAGGAGTAAAAAAGCGAACATTTGACAGAATCATCCGAAAAATTAGCAGAGAACTTTGACTTATAGCAACTGGGTTTTATAAAAATGCAATAAAAAGTACAAATGAAACAATTTAAAACTAAAAACGAATATTTTTTTCCTTTCAGGTTTAGTGCTGGTTTCTGTTTCACCGTGGTCTACGCAGCCCTGCTGACTAAAACCAATCGAATCGCTCGCATTTTCAAAGCTGGAAAAAAAACTGCCGGAACGCTTAATTACATATCCCCCAGGTCGCAGCTTATTATTTGCGCGGGCCTCGTAGCCATACAGGTATGTAATCGAATAAAATTTACTTTCATCTATTCGAACCGACTTGATCAATTTTGCTCTTTGCTTTCCATTTTTTCCATTCAATTATGGTGCCATTGATGTATGGAGGAGAGAACCGTTTCGGCCGTTTATTTGCACAACGTGCGTGTGTTTGCTGAATATAAATCATCGGTTCGTCTATTGCGGTTGTAAGGCGGATTGAATAAATCGGGTTTTCCCACTTGAACTACCTAAATACGGTCGGCGCTTTTTTGCCTTTTTCCGTTTATATACAGGGCGTCTATGAAAGTTGATTTCAACAGAAATCGCATTTCATATCAACAGTAAAACTGGGGTTTTTTGGGCTAAAAAGGACGTTTCGCAAGCACGAGTGGCTTTCATCTTCAACAAAACCTAACTGCTGATGAATTCAAAATTCTGGCTTTTTTCGCTAGCTATGTTTTTAACGCTTTTCAAAGTAACAGTTCAATTCTCCCCATAATCTTCGGGACATTTTGACTGTGTTCAAACATCCAGTAATTTGTATGGGAAATGCTCAAAATATGGACGGGCATTTTTTTCGGGATCAAACACTATTGCTAATGGAAAAGACGTGAACTCGTAGTCCTTCCAAGTGGCGGGTTTTTCGTTGAAAGACTCTCTCCGACCTCCATTAAGTTTGTTCGCTGTTGTTCTCTGATTTTCCTTCGGTTACGTTTTGTATTAAAAAACGCTTTGTCACTGCACGAATTTGTAGCGCAAATCTCTACCTTGTCTGGGTCATTCTGGAAATCGATCTTCATCCATCAGCGAATTTTGGCGACAAAAAATGCCGCAGTATTTTTTCTCTCTGATTTAGTGTGCGTTAGTTCAGATATTCAGATTGTTGCATTCTCATTCGCAGCGAGTTTTGTCTCCTCCCAATGGCTTTGTATCCCAATTCTCTTGAAGGATTAACTGGAAAGTTGATTTTTTCCTTCACAAATTCCATACTTTACAGGTCATCATCAATGTCATATGGATGATAATATCTCCGTCTCGAGCCATCCATCACTATCCAACGCGAGAAGATAATCTTCTGGTCTGTTCATCCTACATAGACGCTTCTTACATGATTGCGTTTACATATCCAATAGTCCTGATAGTCATTTGTACTGTCTATGCTGTTCTCACCAGGAAGATTCCGGAAGCCTTCAATGAGTCCAAGCACATTGGTAAGTCGTCTGCTTGCAGTAAGTTTATAATACTATCTATATTAAATTACATGGGCACATATTAATAACCAAGTATATTGTGAACGTAATCGTCTGCTCCCATGCTGATTTAGGGGGTAGAATGATTCGGGTGTACCCCATGTGCTCTAAAACCCAACTTAGCATAACAAAACCCTTCGCCTACAATAATACATTGTCCTGTTTATGTAAAATATACACTAATTAAGCTAAGCACTTCGCCCAAAAAGCGAGAGTTTCGAGGGTGGGCTGGATTTCTTGATAGTATTGTTTCAGACAACAAAAGGCCTGCAATCAATTTCTGTCGGGTTGTCTAAGCCGTTCATTTCATCAATACGCTACAAATTAATTTGGCACACACTTTATTTCACGGAAACGACTCGAAGAATGGAAAACACTAAATGTCGTTATTTTATCTCTTTTTGAGAGTAAATTAAATTATCCCTGTGGACTCTTCGGGTACAAAATTGTTCGAATTCTTCCCTTTTCAGGTAAATTAAAACACGAACAAGGAAACTTAGTTTGGAAAGCGACTTTGTTGGAAAATAACTTAAGCAAGAAGATTTTTAAACATACAGAAACCCAGAAACAGATTTTTGGGCACTGAATAGCTAAATCGTCTCATTGTTGCAGGTTTCACCATGTACACCACTTGCATAATCTGGCTCGCATTCGTTCCACTTTACTTTGGAACCGCAAACCATGTGGCCTTAAGAGTTACTAGCATGTCAGTTACCATTAGCCTATCAGCTACTGTTACAATAGCTTGTCTGTTTACTCCAAAGGTATGTAGCTAGGCTAAGTTTCAATATAACGAGCTGAAAAAAGTCCCGTGAGTTTTTTTCGACTATGGGAGCTCTAATGCGCTTCCCGCTTGCAGTAGAGCTTTTTTAGCATAAAACATGTTTTTCTGGAACTCCTAATCTCAAAACATAATTATGCATAATAACAATGGGACTTAAAACCGTCAATTAATAACTGCGACTTGCTTACGAGGAAGAATAATAAATTCAAAAGTGTATCCAGAGAGCGGACATGAAGGAAAAACGGAACGCTAAATAAAACTAAATTAATTACAGCAATAATCCTGTGCTGGCATATTACGTGGAGAATGGCCGAATTAAAAAAAATAATTAATAAAAATGACTGTTTCCAGCTCTACATTATTCTCATACATCCTGAACGCAACATCAGACAAAGCATGATGCCCATGCGATACAGTGCGATCAACCAAAGCTCCGCAACAGCTGGATCCGGAAGCATGATGGCAGCTGTGGTTGTAACTGCAGCTACATGCGACCAAAACCAAAAAATCCAAAAGGCCGTTAGTCCAGTAGATCAATCCAGTAAGTCTACAATCTAAGCAAAACTGCGACACTCAGAGCACTTTTGTTTAGATTCTCTAGATATAGTCAACGAAAAAAACAAGTGCAAAGACGCCAGCACCCAAACCAGTCCAGCTTCTAGTATGAACAATCTGAATGGGTGTTCTTTAGATAATCTGGGGAAAATCAACAATAACTGCAACATCAACGGCCCAATCCCGGCCCAGATAAAGGATCTGACTTTATAGCAAGAGCCAGCCAGCAGGTCTTCCAGTTTAAGGTCCAGAAGAAATCCGATACAGGTTTAGGAGCATAAGACTTTACAATTCTAAGATGTTTTATACGTAAGTAAGAGTTTACCATGTTATGTAGGAGATTTCAGCCGGTTTATTTATTCATTCAAAGCAAAACGTTTTCACATTTGCGACAAAGCATACTATTTTTGCCTAATGTAAGATAAGAGTTAACGTTTCATTCAGTTTTGTACAGTGTATGATGTAATTTAAGCTGTTTTCATCATGCAATTAACTGGAAATGTGTATTTTTTCTGCAACAAATATGCAGACAAAGTTCAAACGTGATTACCTTTAATATTTAAAGCTAGTGATTGGTTATATTAACTTTGGCCTGATTTTCAAGCTGAAACTACCCCTTTTGGTTTTGCCATTTGGCCAAACACCCCAAAACATCCATGCACATGGTATTTACAAACTAATGGCAAACTATTTGCATGTTTTGCAGCTGTTCCAGTCTCTCGTTGAAACAGATACGTAAAAATAAAACAGCAAAAGGTTTAGAGTTTTATTCATGGCAAACAGTAAATTATAAAAAAAACATATTCGATAGATTCCTTGACTTTAAAGGCGAAATTTAGAAGGCAATTTGACCAATTTTTTGGATATTTGCCACTAGTCTCTGAACACCTTGTAGATATGAAGACACCAATTTAGCATTAACGACCTGGTGGTTCAAACAAAGTATCTAAAAAATATTGATAATAAATTTGTAGACAACGAGCAACCGATAATGATGTCGAAAAGAAACCAAAACTTTAGTAAAGAATCAACGAAACTCTATTGAACCGTTAGCGAATACAAAAGGGCCTAACAGGGTACATTTAAGTTTTTATGGCGCTGAAAAAATATGACCGATTAAATTTATTTGAGTCACGAGTTCAGCATTACATCAGTTTCAATTAATGATTTTTGCATAAGTACGAACAAAAGACGTTTATATATAAAAAAATAAATGTAAATATGTGCTTAGAGTGAAGAAGCAATGTAACAAAAAGGGGTTACAAACAATGTAATTTTATGAATGTACTATACAAATTGTAGCAAATATATAGCATTAAGTTTAAAATATCTGTGAATAGGTTTTACAAAAACACTTATTTCACACATGATTCATAAAGGATCCGGTTGATTACTGGAAAAAGCCCACTCTGAAAAACATTTCCATCCACAAGTAGTCACTCAATCGCGCAAAATAAATGTTTTTGTGTACCAACCAAGCACATAAAAAGTAAGTACAGGTTGTACTGTGTTGTGAATAATATAGTAAGTTACACGATAAAATCTTCGATATGTTAAGTACTCATGTGGCATTTCACTTATCTTTGATTGAGCCCAAAGATATTAAATAATGTCAGCTCACGAACTGGGCAACGTATTTTGTACATCAACAATGAGGAATATTTTGCTTAGTTCCAAATAAATAAATAAATAAGTGTTAGATAACGACATTGTGTAAAATGGAAAGAGTGTACCTGTTTCGCTAAATGTTTTAAAACCGATACTCAATAAAAATATACAAGTGATTTTATTTTGGGGACGATGTTTACTTGATCAATAAACTCAACTTAATTGTTAATTAATTAAACGTGTATTCGGTGTTAGGCACTAGTGGGGCTATCGGCAGAAAACACAAGTTTTTACACAAGAAAAAAACTTATGAAACTACAACTAGCCCAAACACGCTATCACAAAAAATCAAACCCAGCGAAAACATGAACAAGATGTGCGCCGATGAGAACTAAAGGGAACTAGAGCTGAACAAAGAAAAATACCATTGATGAGAATAAAAAGCACTAATCTAATCAATTTATTAAAAGAACATAAGATTAACAAAATCGTGAATTAATGAGTGAAAATGTCTTTGCAGGCACAACATATCCCCAACGACTCAACGCAGTACCTTTACACCTAGAAAAATAACAGGGCTTTTAACGGGCAAACGGAAATGTTTGAAAAATATATTAATTAACGTACAAGGTTCTATATCCTGCCACAACTTGATAATTTCATTTGCTTTCAAACTAAAAAAACGTATGCTATTAAATTGAATCATCTAGTCTGGAGTTCGACTTTACTGCTAATCTGCTCTTAACATCATGAATAACAATAAGCAATAACAGCAATTTTCTCATAGAACGGAGTGAAATAAGTTTTTAAGATTTCGACCAGAACTTAGTGGCGTGTTTACCTTTGCTAACTTTTTGGGCCTTCTTTCCCTTGTCGCCACTGGGTGTTGCCTCCCTGCTGTCCACCGCCATAACTTCGTCAGTAACATCAGATCTTTCCATAAGCTGAGTCTTGAGGGTTTTTTTGATGTTGACAATCTGCGCAAGAATACGAGTTTTTTAACAGTGAATCATCAGTTTCATTGAGCAAAAAATGCACCTCTTGCTCGATATCAATCTGCCGTAACATGGCGCTGTTCTTCTCAGTGTTAGCCCGATGGATTTGCATCTCCACGCTGTCAAGCACTTTATCACAGGCAGCAGACCAGTCTTGCAAGCAGTTGATGATTACTTTAACATCTTCTGGACGAATGTCTCTGCCGATCGCATAATCTATTTCAAGCTGGCTGTTTTTTTGGTCAAGCTTTCCGTGTATGATATCTGTAAGTAGTTTTTTGTGCAAAACGCTCAGTAATAAATAGTCATCTGACCTGCATAAATAGCTTCAATGATCAGGTCTTCCAAATCTCTTACATTCTTGATTTCGAGCTCCTGCAGTAGCCGTTCATACGGGATGCACTAAAATTATTGCACCGTTTGCATGTGACATGGAAACCGTCGGATTCACTTACTTTCGACTTGGTAGCCAACGTGACAATGGTTAAATGATGCAGCTTCTTTTTCTGGCCGGGAGTTAGCTCGATGAAGTTCTGCTGATTATTCGTGTAGTCTTTGTAAGTGCCATACGCAAACAGATTCAAGGTGTTGAAGTAGACACTGTGAGTATCAGCCAACTAGCGGGCAAAAATTATGTGTTTCACCGCCCCAATCGTTAGAACTGCCAACTTACTTCGGTAATGTTGGGATTATCGAGAAGTTCTCCAAACACATAAACTCCTGGCGCTTCCAGAGCCTGCTTCACTAACTCGGTGCAAGCGGCCCCTTTTGTTGACTTGGCTAACAGCACAAACTGCTCTAAGCTAGAGCTAGAGCTGCTGCTGTTTTTCTCGACAACCATGTTATATGTAGGCACTTTTTTTAATAACAAATACAGGAACACTTATAAAAATCACTGCACAAGGTCAAACTTTTTAAGAACACTGACAGTTTAGGTTATGTCGCGGACAGTAGCTCGCGTCTTTTCTTCCTTTCCAGCCCGACCGACGCACGAAAATGTGACTTTTAAAATGACGCTCGCACTCGATTGAGGTTAGGTCTGAGTAATATGTTGTTATTATTATTATCAAATTTCTTAGTGATTCGAACAAAATTATGAAAAACGGCGATACAGACGATCTATGTTGCTGTGAATACTACGATCTATCAAATGAAAGAAACCACATTTTAGCCTGCTTGTGTAACTGTGTTGACTTAGATGAAGCTGTTGATAAGTAAGTGATCAATCTACCACTTATCGTTTACATACATACTGTGGGTGCTTAAATAATGAGCTAAGTTCCTTTAGATGCCCACTTATTATGTAACTTACTCTACAAAATAAACCTAATTTTATATTGTAAATATTTGGCCCTGCAACATGATAACATTCCGTTGTGCTATCTAAACTCCTCTCTATGAATACAATTTAATAAAACACTAAGGGTTTTTTGTTTCTGTTGCAGCTTAGTGAAAGGAAAAAAAGTATCAGATCAAAACAAAACTGGACTGACCAACACCATGAGGGACCGCCTAAGAGTGCCTTGGATTGGCGGCGCCATCCAAGTGTCCTTTGACTCACTTCTGCCAGTAATAATTTTGCCCCTTGTGTTTCTAGTGTCCTCATTATCCCTCTGGTGGACTGCGTTTTCCTTTACCACCATTGGCGTTTTCATTCTACTGATATCAAACTTTTTCGTCAGAACCATTCCGAAGACAAAGTTCTTTTTCGTTTGGACAGTCACTTCGATCGTCTTGCTCTATTTTATTTTCGAGTTTGTCGTTATTCCGTTTTTGGAGATTTTAGTTGAGGAGAACATTGCACTTAGTGTGCTGATTTTCGGGTTCATTATGTGTCTGTATTTGATGAAACTGAGAGCGAATCAGCTAATCGCTGCTTTGGACGATGAGAGCCAACTCTCTTTTAATGGGAAAAGCATAGAAGGCTTCTATGCGTGTAAAATATGCGACTGTAAAATCCCTGACAAAGACCATCACTGCGTTTGGTAAGTGTTGAGTGTTGCATTAAAATTAAATCAAATAAGTATTTCCCCACAGGTTTGATTGCTGCATCAGCAGGCACAACCACTGCTTGTTCTTGTTGTCGTTATTTTTCGCTATTGCTGCTTTATTGTACAGCTCGAATTTAACACTCACTTCCGTCTGCCATCCGTACGAGTTCTTCAAAACTATTCTATTGCCAGACGACTGCTCAGATGTGTATTTTCAATTTGAGTAAGCCTCAATCATTTTTAGCATTAATCCGGATTAAAACTATTTCCGTTTCAGATTAGGCTTGTCCTTTGTCTCAGCGGTTTACAGCATACTGATAGCGATACTTCTATGGCTGATATTGATGCAGCAAATGTTCTTGATTTCAGTCGGGATCCCATTAAAAGACTGGGTCAAGCTCCCATTGTCATCCAAGTTATGCCTGGGACTTAACCGACTAAGGCCCCACAATAGGGGCCTAATTAGGAATTGGCTAAGAATCGTTTGCGAAATCACCCCAAAATATACACCGATAAATCGAGATGTATAGCGCTAGATGAGAAAGGATGAAAGTATCAACTTGAAGAACTAAATATAAACTGTTTCGCTGTGGTTCATTCACTAGCTCAGTAGTTTTAGCGTTGGATAATGGAGATTTACAACTTACGAGTTTTAAACAAAGATGATTTGTTATTAAATGGTATTTCGTAACAAGACTGAAATTCCCAATTCAAGCAAAGTAGCTCACGTTGAAATCAACTATTTTAGCTAGCACTGTAAATATATATGTATTTTGTATAGAATAAATTATTTTTTCACTATCAGTCTTTGACTTTAACTGCTGAACTTTTTAACCGTTTTAACAGTTTAACCTGCGACAGCAAATACGAACTATTTAAAATCAATTAGTACACTGGAAAAGTCGCAAATAAAAAAACCATGCATTGATTATCTCAAATTAGTATTGCTATTGTACAAACGTTCATTTTTCTATCATGAAATATGCTCGATTTTTTTGCACTACTCGACTGATTAAAGAAGTGTTTTTATTTTAAATTTTTGCAGGGAAACAATAAAACTGGTTCTGTTATATTTACTCAAAAGTATAATTCTACGCCGTAAGAGTTTTTCTAAACAAACTGCTTTATTGTTAACATACTCCTTAAGACTTGCTTTTATACCTTACCCTATCATATAACTTATATCATGAATATCTGAAAAACCCTTGAACGCAACTAAGTACATGGTCTCCTTTGCGACTACGATACTGGATTAAATCGTTATTTCAAATTTGCTAGTTTTTTTACAGTAAAATGTGGCTTAAGAATTTGATACGTGACCTTACTAGTTATTTAACAGTTAGAATGGAAAGTAACTGGAATATTATTATACAGTACATTCGCAAAGATAATTCAGCTTATTCCACGTAATAAATATACACTAATTACACACTTAAAACCTATCCGGTCCTCGATGATAATCGAGTGCTAAATAATTGCAAGAAACAACTGTAAGAGAAGAAAGTAATCTCAACAATTAACCACTGATAAGTAACAACGTGTCTCAAAAACGGTACTTGCCAGACATGCAAAAATGAATCTTTAACCCATTTGTAACCCCCTTTCAAGTACCAAGTACGTTAAGTAATTAAAAATAAAATTTTTATAAAGTAAATAGCTCTGACATTAGGACAGCACATAAATCATTATTCGGGAATAAAAATAAAGTATATCAAGTACAGCCCTGATACAAACGGAATGTATTTTTAATAATAGATCGAGGAATATCCCCACAACAGCTTAAAGAGAGCTAAAATCCCCCAATAACAAAACAATTTGCCAGCTTTAATACTCAAATCTATCAAAAACCTTCGCCTTTAAAATTTACTATCAGACCGAAAATACTGCTGTGAACTTACCAAGTAGTCCTTAATCATAAGTCCATAAAATATTAAAATAGTTAACTTCAATATAAATGATAACGCAAAACGATATAACTTGCTAGCTCTGTCCTACATACAAACAAACAATCATACAAATTATCACGTGAATACGAACTAAAATTGTACCCAGTTGGTATTGGGACTCGATTGAGGTTGCGTTGATGTACTAGAAAATACACGTTTTTATTATATTGCACCGCTTAAAAGGCGGCGGGAAGAAAAAAATCACTAACCTTGTTTGAGCAGATGTAAACTCTCCCCATGTATCTGCAGAAGGAACCGCCTCTGGTTTGGGTGCATGAGCTGGAGAACCTGCAGGAGAACTGCCTGAAGGAACTGGCAATTTTCCACTTGGCGGCGGAGGCAACAGCCCTAAACCAGCTGGACCTCCAGTTTTGTTCTTTGACTTTGAGTTTCCTTCGCCGTCTTTTTTCTGCAATCAAAAAATCAATTAATATGTGGTTCTACAAACGGCCAATTACCCTCATCACTTACAGTAATTTTCATGTTAATCTTGATTGTTTCTCCTTCCTTAAATCCCAAATCCAACGAAGGCGCACTGGGTTCCTCACTTATCTGCTTCTCTTTCTTCACCCACTTGAAATGGTCTTGAAGCGCGACATTCAAGTCAAAGGAATCGGATCGATCGCCAAATCCTATTCCAATGTAAGCTGTTCTCAATGCTGAAATTTAATAAACAAGCCAATGAAAAAATGAGCCAACATATACACTGATGTAAACATATGAAAACCGGATAACAGGAGATGTTTATCCACCCACTTAGTAAATATTCCATATATTTAGTACACAAAAAAACCTTATCACTGTCTATGCAGTGAACAATACAATGAAGGTCGTAATTGCGATACACAGGGTGATTCAATGCTCAAATGGTAAAATAAGATAAAGAGGTGTTAGAACCCACGAAAGTAACTAGAAACATGTTTACTCGTAATCTACTCATTAAGTGCGTATTTTAATGCTCGATGTGCATTGACAATTGCAGCTTTACAGCTCAGCAGGTTCTCCAAATATGAGCCAAAGGCTACAAGCGATTTTGAAATTCGCATCAATTTAAATTTTTTGCATTTTGCGTGAAACCTAGACATTTCTAAATTGATGCTTTATATAAAAAAAAATTATTTTAATGCTCTATCCGGCAATCTGCAGCTTTACAGCTCAACTTCTAGATCCAGGGGGTTGAAAATTGGAGTTTTTAATGGAGCTTTTAACGTCGTTAAATGTGTCTATTGTAATGAGACAATTTAAAGCTTCCAGTCAAACAACATACCAAAACACCTTAACAAAATGTTGTATACCTGCTGGTTCTGTGCATAGACAATAGAATTTCTCAGTAAAAACAGGTCTAACGTATGTCAACGTAATTACACGAAAGTTATCTAGCAACCCTCACCATTATCATCCTGTATTCTTAAAACGAAATATCTTGAAGAATCGGTGACTGATTCTATCGCCACTCCTGGATAAGATTCAATGGGGCACCTTGCAAAAAGTTCCCCAGTGTTTTTGTCCTCGAGCTTAATGGACAGCGTATTTCCTTTGGAAATCAAGCGCATTCGGCCGGTCCATTCGGGCTCGCCCAGGTTCCAGTCCGCAGCACTACAGCGAACAAATTACGGGTAATTTTAGGCGCAAAACTACCAAAGTTTTGAGGACACGACTTGAAAGGAAGTGGGTGGAAATGGGATTTTTTCAACATCCTTACCGATAACCGCGATTTGAAAGTCTGGGCGGAACATTGAACACATAAACTTCTGGTTTCACTAGCACAACACTTTCATAAGTATCCATTTCGACTGTTTTAAGCGATTTTTTTGTTTGATAAAATAATGGACAAATTTGTTAATGTTGACAGCCTGTGGTTGACAGCAGAACTAGACAGCTGACTTTGGTGGTGTCGGTGAATTAAGACCACAGATCACAGAGGTTGTAGATTGGAAACTGCCTTATTAACCTGTAGATTTAAATTGAATAAAATGGCGAGAAACAATAAAAATACAATTATTCGGACAGACCCCAGCCTCTGAAACTCCCTAGCACAATTCGTTGAGAAAAAACAATTTGCTTAAATTTTTAAAATTGCATAAAAGAGCCCGAAATCTAAATGGTTTCGCCAGGATCACTCGCAGCGTTTTAACGTGCTATCCTCTAATAAGGCAATAAACAATAAAAATTGCAAAAAATATATGGAAGTTTTTCAGTGTTAATTTAAAGTTGGTATGGAATTTGCGCATTTTTCTCATTTTGAAAAAAATATAAATTTGCTATCTACTTTTCAATGAAAACAATTAAAATGGTCGCATACTCGCGTCAGTAATATTATTAAATGTGGCAAAATGCATTTTTTCTTTAATTGTGTGAAATTAAAACTTAAACTTTAGCAGAATAATCACAGATTTTCTAATAATATCGCTTATTAGCAGCCGCGCCTAATCAATTAGTGTCTGGCAATTCTTCTTCTGTTATCTATCATAGTACTATCTTCACATTGTCTTAATTTCCTTGATAGACGTGTCCAAAATGAAGGACTTCTGAAGCAATTTTGTAAACTAGAAACTTAAAAGAGTATTTTTGTTAAACGTATTAAGTTAAATAAATAGGTAAGTTGCTGAAGATGTTCCACTAGAATCAAAGTCTGATTTAACCCCGATTTAAAGCGCTTTTTTTGGTAGTGAAGCATGGCAGGAAATCTTGACTCGGGCTCCAGTAAAAGGAGTAAAAGTAATATTTCCCAAATATATACCCGATTATCACAGGTAAGTCATTAGAGACATTAATAAATCACATTAATTGCAGGTTTTAAACCACATTGTATTAGGATTTAAGTAGGGAATTAATTAAATTTCCAGATTCACCGCAGATCGAGATTTCAGTGCTCGCTAAGTCCAATGGACGAATTTTGTGTTAAGTCATGTTTCCCCAAATTCTAAGTTATCTCAGTATCTGAACATGATAGTGGTTTACTTGTCTAGTTAATTGCTTTTGCCCCCGATAGGAAAAGGGCCTTGTCTGCATCACATGTTGATTTTTCAGTTGCACTTATGTGTCTTAATTTTGTTTTATTATCCTTGTTTTTTAATGCTTAATGTGTAGTTCATGATAGTGTATGTATAATTACCAAAATGTATCTTTTAAGTGCACAATTATTTGCAGTGTATTAATACCCAAGTTTGTTGCTTTTACCCTGAGCGAAAGACAAAGCACCCAATTTTCTTACCATTGCAGTACGTATACTGCAATTTACTTTATCTCAACAGCAATGAGCTTTGGAAGATATTGACTGCATGTAGTTATCTTCGAATTTAACAACATTTTACTGAAACAGATACACCAAGCTGTCTTAGACAAATGGGCCCCAAACAGCCAAAGTCGTTGGCTATCAACGACCTTGCTGCTGTTGTTGTTCGTTCTTCGCGTATTTCTCACACAGGTATTTGCACAATGTCCAGCGTGTTTCTTGTTTTAGAGTTACCAAGGCCTGCTAGACAAAACTGTTCCTTGGGTCAAAGCTCGATGGCTCTTCGGCATAAAACTGGTTATAGTCTTTTTGGCTCGTATTCTCCTTACGCAGGTATATGATTATTCAATCACTTATTTAAAGTAATACGTAAAAGCCTTTATTTATAGGGCCTGAAACTGTGAAATCTTACTCAAAAGAGCCATTGATCTACAATTTTTTTTATTGCTGTTGATATGTCGTTCTAACAAACTGGTTTATTTTTGGTTTTTACTCAAAAAATTAACCTTAATTTCATAAATTTGTTTGTTAATTGAAGTGAATTCCTACTAAATCTGCTTAATATCCACATAAACTTTTTTTTAAATACTTTGCTACGTTTTATTTCATTGCTTTCAGGGCTGGTACATCGTTGCGTATGCCTTAGGAATATATCATCTAAATCTATTTATATCGTTTCTCACGCCCAAAATGGACCCAGCATTGGATTTTGATGGTAAGAACTGGCGAAACTACTGAAGAAATTGCTTTGTGACATTCCTGCTGCTTTTCAGCTGAAGAAAACGGTCCAGAATTGCCAATGAGAGCGAACGAAGAGTTTCGACCATTCATTAGAAGATTGCCAGAATTCAAATTTTGGTACTCAATGAGTGTCACTACATGTATTGCATTGATATGTACCTTCTTCGACTGCTTGAATGTTCCAGTTTTCTGGCCAATTCTAGTGATGTATTTTATTACGCTTTTCTGTATAACAATGAAAAGGCAAATTATGGTAAGCACTTTTTTAGGACTTGTGGTCTTTCCAAAGCCGACACTTAGAAACTAACAATATTCAATTTATTCCAGCATATGATAAAGTATAGGTACCTGCCGTTTACTCACGGGAAGCCAAAATACCAAACCAATGAAACAGGTAAATCTTCAAAGTGACACCCGATGTACAAAGTAAAATAAGTGAAATTCTAGCTCCCTAGGTTAGTTTTTATAAACTTATATTCAAGAGAAGTTTTACTTGATTTCAATTTAAGTTCATAGTCACTTTAAATGTTGTTCTGGCAATATTATTGAAACGAAACCTGCATAGTTCTAATTAGTATTAAGGTAAATGCGCTTGTGACTAAGAAGCCATTGGGTTTTCCAATAAATGAGCTGAACAACTTTCGAAGTGGCTCCCATATTAATTACATTGAATGTTGTAAAGAAGTATGTGAATGTGGTGTCCGTTTGGGAAACCTATTACTTGAGCTACGGCTTTGATTGAATTGAGGCAAAATTAAATCACTGGAATTGTTGCATATTTTCAAATATTTTTATTTATATTTCAATATTGATGGAACCAGGCGAGGCTTTAAACGCGGCCTGGTTTTAGTTTGAACTAAACGAATATTTCAAAATTCCATATTTTCTATATGTTAAAATGTAACTCATGGCACGTGATTTGAGAGCTTTGAATTGTATTCGTTATATAATTATTCGATGGTTTTGAGTGCAAATTTTAATGTTTGGCCAGTTTAAAGTGAAAAAACCCACGGATGGTTGTCACATATATGAAATGAAAAACTGGATGATAAGTGTAAAGGCTTCTTGATAAGGAAATCTTTATAATTTTTCAATAGTTGTGGCTCTTTGATTAATAATAACGCAGGCAATTCGGTTGCATTCGAACGGTCTACTCGCTTTCCTACTTCAATCTTCCGCTATTTTCGGTCTGGGAGAGAGGCGATGATTTAACGTTTTTCGATGTTTTCAGGCGAAGTCCAGAATATGTGAAGCAGTTCCAACAAAAACCGGTTCCTCTTCGGACACTCAGTCCATTCACTTATGATCCATTTTTTCAAAAGTTATTGATCGGTTTTTTTGGCGCTGATAAGGGGCGATCTTCATTGTAAACAAGTTAGGACAATGCGTCTGTTGTGCCCGTGAGTTACTCGGCCTAGTTGGATTATTTTCTCTTAAGTAAGGAAACGCTGGATTGTAACGTGTGCGAATGTCTGCTAAAAATCGCCGCAGTTACAATACCCGTTTAGAAAGTGCCACTTATCAGTGCCATAATTAGTTCTTTTAACTACTCATTAAGTATCAAATTTGCGTTCGGGATTCGAATACCAGTTTACTATTCAAACTCAAATTTTGAACTGATTAACTATTTCTTTGTATCTTTTATATTATTAGCTTCGTAAAGCAATTTAGTATTTATAATTGTAAACTTGATATTCAGTTAGTTGCAGACCTAATGGCTTTCTATGTATAAAACGCTTGATTGTTTCACGCTGTTGTACATAAACTTACATAAATTATAGATCGTTATGTATGGTGGCCACATTCAACTGGAATTTAATTTAATATATGTTTCTCGTTTAAACAGATGATGGTTTTTTTGTCACCAACATCCATTAGACGCCACACGTGTACGTTTTAATTGATCATCATTTTGAGGAATCAATTGATCAGCGCTGTGCGGCAAATAGTTTAAAAATGACGCAACTGCATCTTGCAAGTTCGTGCGGTTTCAGTAATTTTCAGTTTAAATATTTGGGCGGAATTTACCATCAAAGAAAACTTTCTTATGGAATCTCGTACGCCAATTCAGTTTTTTCAATAAATTAAAAGTTTAGGTTGAAAAATTATGAATTGTGAGCCAAGTTTATATTCTTTATTAACGAATGGTTTAAGTCCCATATTATCTGGTTACTTTCCTAAAATGTAACAATTAATAAGCTGTATCGGAAACCAGTTATTTTAATGGTTTTTCGGTAATGTGTGCAAACGGAATATTAGCATAGTTTAATGGGTTTTGCAAAGTCATGTATTTTACACGTAAAACTCAAGGAGAAATGAATAGTGCAAATGTTAAGGAAAACTCTAACTCAAAGTGTTCGTTCGTAAATGAGCAGATTTTTCTGAGTTCCATTCCTTATATATTAATTTATTATCCCGACTTTTCCAGCTTAATTTCTCAGCTTGTAAGAGCGAAATTGAAATTGTAGTGTTTTAATAAATTATACAAAAAAACCGAGACAATATATGGGACAAGTTCAGGTTTTTTGACCTTCGAGCTCTTCGCGGGTACGCAAGGAGAAAGCCTGAAAATTGTTAAACGATGGAACGGTTCTTGAATAAGCAGTTGTCTGCTGAGGTCAGCATTTCATTGCCGGTTATCAACCTGCCGCCTAAGCATTCTATTGAAGTTGGTTTAAAGTTAGGTAAACAGTGCAAGTGCTGAAGGAAATTGAGGAGTTCCCGATAACCCAGCTAGAAGCTTTCTGAACCGTAGGTATGTTAAATAAGTTTTAAAATTAAAGTTACATTTTTTTGCTACAACTGCAAAGTATCCCTAATGATAAGTTGTTAAGGGATTTAATCAAATTACAGTAGGCAGACATGAAAGGTTTCATTAAGATCCTTATTTATTCATTAGAAATCGATTGAACAGAAGCGAGTAGTTGGTTCAAATACAGAGCATTCGCATACAAGTGAACTAAACAAACATTAAGATTCAAAGAGAGCTCTTAGATATAGCGGGCTTTTTTGCATGTTTTTTGAAATTGAGCCAACAGGGAGTGAGTGTGTTTACGTTCCTACTAGATATCAGATCGGTAAAATGTACTGTATACATTATGTAATATGATTTTTATTCAAAAGTCTAAATAACTTAAAATGATGCGGAAACGCTCAAGTTTTCAGCGTTTTCAAGTTGCAAAAAAGGATAATTTAAATTATTTTCAACAAATTAAACGAAATTTGAGCGTTTTCGCATAATTTTGCATGAGGCATTCGATTTTTCAAAGTTATATCGCAAAGAATCGAAGCTGCTCAAGTGCGTTTTTTGAGCTCAATTGATTGTTTCGAGCAATACAAATATATTATCAATTTCAGTCAACAAATGCCATTATTCAATTTTTGTCCTCAATCAGTGTCGTGCCCGAAGCACTCGGTACAAAAAATAAATTATAATTTTCTTTAGTAAGAAAGATTTGGTCGGATTATGATTGTGGCCGCTCAAAAATTGCTTAAAATGCCTCATCGCGTGGCAAAAATCATTTATTTAGTGGGAAATTTGGGAAAACAGCGCACTTTCAGACGAAAAACAAAGAATCTCAAGCACGATTGCAGAAAAATGCAGATTTTCACTCCCAAAACGCTTCGATCGTAGGAAAAGCCCATTTAAATCTGGGCAAAGGCTGCGTTTTCCAGCGCTACTGTTTTTTTTTCTACTAATTTCTCAAATCCGTTTTTTCTGTGTGTGGAAGATTGATGTCCAATACGCATCAAATTGGCCTCTTAAAGGAAAGCAAATGGCTCGGTTTTGAAAACGCACTTGTTTGCAAAATTCGCCTTAAGTTACTTTTTCTTTAAAATAAAATAAACGACAGCAATTCTATGCAAAAAAAAGCCGTAATTTTGCAACATTACAAGTCCGATGATTCTTTGCTCAGGTAATTGCTTCAAAAATCATCTAATTTTTAGGTGTTTTAGCGATGTTGGAGAATTAATCAGATTTTTTGCCACATTTTTTTTCCAAGGTTTTTCCGTAAGGGAATTCATTTTTTTTTAATGTATGAATTTATTTTGAAGTGGTAGCAGAACAAAAATGAAAAAATCTTAGAAAATACAGTCTAGGACAATTCGCTCAACTAATTTTTATGCAAAACAGTACTTTGTTGACCATTTAAGCAAATATGCGACACAAAACCTGATTTTTGCTTATTTAGCTGCGTGATTCCGACGTTATTTCCCCGCTTGCCAATTAACATTGACCAATACAAGCGATCCCAATTAAATTTTAAAGAACTTTCCGAAAATTACTTTTTGCGTCATTATACAAAAAAATATAAATGTTTCCAATAGATATATGCAAATCGTGATGTTTGCCTGCACAGGTGGAAGAAGTGTACTCATATTGCTTTCGTCTGCCAGTAACTTAACTGATGTTTTAGGATGAATATTTCGGAACTCGGCGAATTTTGGCCAATTATTCAAGCCCTCATAGTTCTGGCGGTTGTTGGAATTGTGACTATAGTGTCGGTCATCAAGTTCTACAACGTGGTTACTTGCAGTAAATTCAGGTAAACATCGCACTTTTAAGCCTTTTAATCACTAAAATCTGCATGATGTATCAATTGAATTTTGCAATAGAAACACACATAATTGCTCGGTCTCGGTAGTGCTGAAATAGCTTCAAATCTACCAGCTCTTGTACCGTTGCTTGCTGCAACTGTAATTATTGCAGTAAACCGTTGGCTGCTCGATCACCAGACTAAACATCAGTAAACAATTTTAGTCCCAGTTTGCTGCATTAAATTCTCACGCAGTAAAGTGCTAATTATTTCTCTTTTTTAAAGAGATTCGGTCAAAATGGACGGGAAAACGGTGATAGTCACAGGAGCCACTGGAGGCATAGGAAAAGAGACCGCAAGGGAGCTGGCGAAGCGAGGAGCCCGAGTGATATTGGCTTGCAGAAATGTGGAGAATGGGGAAAAAGTTCGCGGTAAGCCACTGAAATCCCGCCTTATTGACCAGCAACTTTGCAAATTTCGAAATAAATTTGCAGCTGAAATACAAGAAGAAACAAAAAACGACAAACTCGTAGTGCGCGAGCTGGACTTATCGTCACAAAAGTCCATCAGAGGCTTTGCTGAAGCCATAATCAGCACTGAAGAACGTTTGGATGTGCTGGTTCACAATGCGGGGACTGCAGAGAAAAACCTGGTAAAAACTGAAGATGGACTCGAACTTACCATGGCCACCAATCACTTTGGCCCTTTTCTGCTCACCCACTTGCTGATTGGTATGCACCCTACTGAAGTTTCTTCATCTTCATTTAACATCTCTATCTTTAGATCTTCTAAAGCGCTCGGCTCCATCTAGGATAGTGGTGGTAGCTTCGTCCTTATACCAACTGGCGTCGTTGAATTTGGATAATCTCAACCCATCCAGCTCATGGTTTCCTCCTTATATTTACTACCCCTCCAAATATGCCAACATTTGCTTCACTCTGGAGCTCGCTAGGAGGTTGGAAGGAACGGGAGTGACCGCTAATTGCCTCCACCCCGGATTAATCGACAGCGGAATATGGAGAAACGTGCCAGTCCCATTGAATTGGCCCTTGAAGCTCATAGTAAAGGGTTTTTTCAAAACACCCCAGCAAGGTAAAATGGCTTGCCAAGTTGAAATCGGCAGATTTTGGGAGTTTGAAAGTTGAAAATCCCCTCACTTGCTTGATTTCAGGCTGCCAGACATCGTTGTATTTGACCTGTTCAGACGAAGTGAAGAACGTGAGTGGGAAATATTTCATGGAATGTCGAGAACACTCGCTAAATCGGGGAGCTTCGGACATGGCGAAAGCTGGAAAGCTTTGGGAGCTGTCCAAAGAACTGACCAAACTGAAGCCAACTGATCCAACAATTTAAGCACTTTTTTATTTTTAACAAATTGCAAGAAACAATTCTTTCCAGAGCGACTGGTAAGTCATTTTTTCTGGTCTTTAAATTATTTCGAATTTATTGCAGAATAAACGATTGAAATGTTTTTGAAGGGTTTTTATTAAAGGAACGAAAATGAAGTGCGATTCTGCACAAAAAAATGTGTCTCTATTTTAAATGTTGTTAAAAGTTGAAAGATTGACAAATATTAAAAACTGTAGCGAAGAGCTTAAAAGAGATTTAAAGTCCAAATGAGTTTACTGAAGTTTGGCGCATTTGCTTAAAAAACCTATTTTTGAAAGAACGTGAAAAAAATATTAGTTTCATTTAAATAAAAAAAAAATTTAAACTCGTCAACGGTAGGTAAAAACAATAAAATGGGTACCAGTTAAGTTAAGAATTAACAAAGATTTAAATTGAACATGACCTTTATTTTTTTACTGCAAAACAGTACGAGGTACAAAAAAGTGCAGTCATTTTCGCGATCAAATTGATCGAGGAATCGAAAACAAATTTTGTTTTGCAAAAAATCAGTGGGCATCATTTTTTTCGTGTCTGTGCCGAACGCATTGGTAAAAGTGAAAAAATGCCCGACCGTCTGAAAAATGCGCTGATCACTTTCAAATTCTGCAAAATTTAACGAAATTACGCCAAACGGTTTTGGCACTAATAATATATTTCGATAAAATGCTGCTCAATAAACTTTGACACCCTGTAAATCGGAAGCTTTGCAGTTTTGGAATGAGAATTCTTAACGAAATTTAACTACGTAAATTTCGTGGCGTTTGAAGAAAAAAAATTAAGCACTGCAATGTGTGTATCATACTGAAGAATGGACATGCTAAATGGTGAATGAAATATCGTCCGCGCTTGAATTTGAATAATTTCCATGAACAATCGCCAATTGCTAGTGAAAAATTGAAGTTTTCTCATTGGGAAGCGAAGCATAACAGAAATTTGACTCAAAATCGTCCACTAAAACTGCAATAACAGTTCTAGCGAAGAAGATATTACGCGGCTTAAAACTGTTTATGTAGAAAAATTTTTTTGGGAACTGGAAAATGATCGTAAAAAATCATAAATATGCTCTTCTCTCAATCTTTACCTCTAAGTAAAAGCTGAAAGTTCATAGATTTTTTCAGTTTAAAAGCCATCAGAAGTCCTCTTTTTAGTTTCGGTCAGTTTGCATGGAAAATATTATCGCTCATCATTTCAAACTTTGATAAAATATTTTTAAATCAAAGGGATGTGAACTTCAATGCCATTTTTGCGAATTTTTAAATTAAAGAAATATTACAAATTTACATCGGATTTCAAAGCAGCACTATAAAATCGAAGAAAAAGTTGAACTGAACTTCAACAAGATCAAAATCAAGCAAAACGACTGAAGAACAGAAGCAAAAAAAGCAAATAATTTAATGTTTCTCCGACTTATGTACTTACTTATCAGAACGTAATGCAAAAATTAACAAACAATGTAAAAAATCATGGAGTCATGATTTTCAGGTCAGTCAATGAAAAATGGTAAACTCAAATAAAATCGATTTTTCGATTTGTCACATAATTTCCAGTAATTTTTATTTATTATCATTAACCAACAGCATTTGAAATTACCGCTATTCTGGTAATTCGCAAATTCAAGCCGACCTTAAGCGCCAAGTGCACTGACTAAATGTGCACTCGGGCCGCATCTGTTTATTACTGATCCTTGTGTGTTTCACCAATCAGTTTTTGAATAAATTTGTTCTTTAACTTAAAAATGCTTTTTTAAACCGATATTAAAATGACCCTAAAAATGAGCCTACTTTCGGCTGTTTATTAACACCAGAAGAATGTCCAAGGTGGCTGGTAATTCGAGATGCTACTGTCTCAACGGCTGCTCGATATCAAGCTTCTTCAATTATTGGGGCCCGATATTTCCTACAACTATTAATTCGTATAAAAAAGTGAAATAAATTACATTCGACTACACCAGGCCGTTGTATTGTGTTCCTTAATTATGTACCAGTGAAAAACCCTTCCGTTTGTCTAGGTCTTTAACGTTTAGTAGCCATGATCGGTTGTCTTCCGATTATTGATGATCGGCCGGCGGATCACTTACGATGACATCAGCGCTCTTTTGTTTCGACTATCAATTATCTCGCAAGATGACTTCGGTATTTTAATTTAATTGAGTAGTTGTTTTGTCAATAAAATCTCTTTTCGGATCGTTACGGCCGATGCGGGCTCTAAGATAACCGCGATTGTAATGTGGATTTTTACCTGGCCGGTGTTTTGCATATTACCATTTCATGCCGCTGTTCACTGCTTATTTATTTCGCATTTTACAATTACTTAGTGAAGCCGGTTTTATTAAAGTGCCTACTGCTACGTGCAAGAGGTATTCACTCAAAAGCAGGCGAACAGGTGGAGTTTCGTCAAAAATGGCTCCTTCCCTTGGGATATTAAGTGCAGTAGACCTGAGGAAACTTATAGGTCTTGATGAATGAAGTTTTACAGGAAACTTTATAGCTCTTAGTGTGTTAGCTGATTGAGCTATCGAGATGAGCAAGGGCGGATCCAGCTTTAAAGTCAAGGCGCAAGATTATTGCAAAATTTCATGTTTTCCGTCGCGTTGTGCGTGTTTCTCCGAAGCAAAATGAGCAAGAACGCTCGTTTTTACATCATTCCAGAGATA